TCCTATGGTTTAGGTAATTAATCACTTTTTTAAATTCTTTAGCTGCTTTTAAACAAACATTTTCCCACGATTTACCGGAAAACAAGAGACATGTGTCATCAGCATAAGTTATGATTTGACCATCAATTTTTAAATCACATATTGAATTAATGTATAATATGAACAGCCCTACCCCTTGTGGTACTCCACAGTTAATACTCAATTCTTCACCTGAGGAGCTAATAATTTTCACAATTTGTTTCCTGTTATTTAAATAACTTATAAACCATTTTAAACTACTATTATTTAAACCAAAACTTGGTAAAATTTTACAAAGTTCAATATGATCGACTGTATCAAAGGCATTAGCTAGATCTAAAAATATTGCCATTGTTTTATTGTTGTTGTCAAGAGCATCATAATATATGAATTTACTAGCATTGTACAGTGCATTTTCTGTGCCCAACCCGGGTCTAAAACCAAACTGGTTTTCAGACAGTAAATTATTTTTTTCCAAAAACTATTAATCTATACTTTATAATTTTTTCTAATATTTTAGCGAAATTGCTTATCATTGATATTGGTCTATAATTATTAATGTTCGTTGCGTCACCATTTTTATATAATGGTTTGATGATTGCTAGTTTAAGTTTATCAGGAAATGTACATTCAGAAATACTTAGATTATAAATATATGTTAGAGATTCAATAATATTTGTAGCAATAGCCTTTAATGTTTTCACAGATACTCCATCAAAACCTGCAGCAGTATCATCATTCAAATCATTTATTATTTTTATAATTTCATGTATGTTAATTTTCTCTTTAAAAATCATGTCAAATGAGGCATTTGTGCTAGGTTCATCATAAATAAAATTCGATTTTTTTATTTTACTTGCAAGGTTACTACCAATATTAATAAAAAATTTGTTAAACATATTTGAAACTCTCACCGGATCCTCTGAAGGAATTATGTGTTCATTATTATGGATTAATGGCTTATAAATTATAATCTTATATTAGTTATAGTCCTAAATCATAATGATATTAAAGTACATCCGTTTAAAAATTCCCAGGGAACAATGGCTCTTTTGTCCCCTCTCTCTTTGGCCGCCCTTACAACTAACACATCTGATACTACATCTACTACAAAACAAAGTAGGCATGCTGGTTATTAATAATCAAGGCCAGGATTTGTATGCAACAACAATTTTTTTTTGCTACGACCAAATGAAGTTTAAGTGAGTAATTTCCACCATTTATATTTTTCTGATAAAAATGGTACTATTTTTATTTTGCATGTTTTTGCTTTGCATATATCGAGCTTAACTCATATTATGTATGATTGGATTTATTAGATTAATAAATAATAATATAATAATTTATAAGACGGTAATAATTAAACTGATCAAAGTATTTAACTTGGTTTTTTTGTCAAACATTAATTTTGTTTTTATAAATAAAATCCAAAGGTACAATATGCGATAAACAAGTGAATAGTTTAACAGAGAAAGATAAAAACAATTAACAAAAGCATGGTCTCAGAAGATCTTCTAAGACCATGAACATAAGTATGTTTAGGTATCATTATAAAATCCAAGATAAGATGTAATTTTTCGGGTATTAGCAGTGGTCAGGACGTTACTAGTTTTTTGTAGCACACCAACGCTACAGTTATTTCTCCAAAAAGGTGCTCTCAATCGCTCCTTTTTTTAAAATGTAGCTCGCTACTTCTAATGCTATTGTCCAAATATAGTGTGCTACTTTTTCGCTACATTTTTAAAAATGTTCTTATTGAAAACTAGTGTTTGCAGTTTGTACTGATTTGACCTCTGGTCACTGGACAGAATTCGGAGCAAAAGCTTCACTAACAGACTCATCATTAATCAGTATCGTAATATAAATAAACAAATATAATCATAATTGATATTTTAATAATCATTAATCACCAATTAGATTGTAATTAGTGACAAAATAATGATCATTTTTGCTACAAATGTTTTTCAGTGTGATTTTAATAAAAAATTTTGAGATTTTAATTTTAAAAATTCCGAAAGTCAAAAATGAAAGTGTCAAATGACAAAAATTTGTTGCAGAATTGTAGAAAAAAAATAAGTGGTCGTAGCATGTAGCACACTTATTTCCACTATTGAATGTGAATCATAAGTTTTAGTATGTATTAAATATGCATGAGAAAAATAAATAAATAATTTTTAATTTTTAATCTCAATTATATTATATTAAGACAATCCAGCCAATCACTGATTTATTTCAATAAATAAATATTTTTTTTATGTCTCAAAATTAAAATGCATATTTTTGTATATTTTGGTAAATAAAATGCATGTTTTACAATTTTTTATTGCATACAAATCCTAGTTATGAATAATAAAATAAACACAATAAACTAAATATTATTTTAATTTAATTCATACATGTCCTCGGAACCCTTAGATTACAATGAACGCAGTTTTATTTCTGCTGATATAAACTATAAATATTTTTTTTTGTGATCTTATATTTTAATGAATTATTATCTAATGATCATATTATTAACATAAATTAATTATCATAAAACATTAATTCTCTCACAATATAATATGCTATCTAAAAATACTTATCGGTTTAGTATGATATTGAAAAAATATAGGTATCTATTATCTATCAACACTATCTATTCATTATACCTGTATATACTTCATTTAGCGATATTATGATGGAGCTTTTTACAAAAAAATAAAAAATAAAATTACTTAGTGTCGAAAGTCCCATGGATTGTACGGGGTTGAACTGGATATTTTTATCATTATATTACTATTTCTTAGTAATTATTATCTAATTTCTATTTAAAAAACTTATAATTATTTTATACTACCTGTGATAAATATGGTAAATATGAGTAGCTGTATGCAGTGGCGCCGAAGTCCATGCTGACGTCGGGCCGTGGCCCGACCTCTTTTTTGAAAAATGTGGCCGGCCGGCCATATTTAATTTACATCATAACTTTATTACAAACATGAGTAAATTTAAACCGTGATTATGAATAAATTTATATTAGGGTACTTCTATATTAAATAATTAAGATATTGAGGCCGGGAAATTTTAAAATTGCCCGACCACATTTTAAAAACTTCGGCGCCACTGGCTGTATGCCTATATTTGTTTAAGTAATCAATGTATGTCGGTATATTGTTAAGATTATTTACATAATTTTACAGTATATGCACTGAACTATAATATAGATAGTGTGTTGCGGAATAAAAATACCCGGAAAAAAATTGCCGACCCCAGGATATATAACTCCCAGACTACAATATTACTGACAACCATATGAAATTAATTTATTAAATATTTTTAAAAGTTAATTAGTGTAATATTTGTAACTAAATATTAATAATGTCGTAATTACACTAGTTAGTTTTTAAAAATATTTGCTCAATCATTTTCATGTGGTTGTGAGTAATATATACATTAAACTTATATTGTAGTCTGGGGATTTCTTTCGGATTACCACAGACTGTATATTATTATTATGAAAAATGAAACTTGAGTAAATAAATATTTAGTCTTTTTGTATGGTTTTTTAAATTTTTAATTGATATATATGGAGGTGTTGTGGCATTGTCTACTTTTTATGCAATATAATGTGGGGGCTACAGCCCCCCCCCCAACATTTCAGCCCTAGTTGCACCACTGTATAAAATAAAGATAACGTAAGCCAAGGTATTTAAAAAAGATCCCCAGACCAACTAAAGTCGATTAGTATAATATTCATGTAAAGATGTAGCAGTTGCAGAATTTCAAAAACTTGAGAAAATGAGAGGTCCTAGTATAATATTATACAAATAAATGAATAAAATAAAATAAATTAATTTGAATTTATACATAACATCACATACTGTAGTTTTGGGTGGTTCTTATTTGGGCAATTCTTGAATTCTAATGTTGAAGGGCAAAAATCCATTTCTTAAAAATATGAACAATTTTGTGACTTTTATGAATCTCTTTTTCTCAATTCTTCCATCTCGCTGTATTAGCCTAAAGTTTAGCCAGTAAAACACATAAAAATTAACAGGTGGGATTTCAACAAATAAAATATGAAACAGGTAGTCAAAAAATTGAAAGTTTGTGGTTTACTTTTATGTAAAAAGTTGATTATAAGATACTTGTTATTTTTCACTTAACACGAACACCATCAAAATGTGATAATTGTTTAGTTTATGAACAATTTATTTTGTTATATCATGGAACAACAGCTAAAATAATGAACTTATCGAGAAAAGTTTTAGATAAAAAGTTGTATCTATAAAAAAGACAAATAATATTCTGTTAAATTTATTATTTTAGCAGTAAATTTCTGAGATTTAAACAAATAAGTCGCTCTGTACATCAAAGAGCAATAAGAACATTTTGATGGTATTCGCGTCACGTGGATAATAAAAAACATTATACTGGCAATTTTTTGCATCAAAATGGATCACAACCCTTCAACTTCTTGATTGACTATTCCATATTTATCTCTCTGAAATTCAAGAATGACCCAAATAAAAACAACCCTACTGTACATATTATTATTATAAGTATTTATAGTTTAAATTCATTTAAAATAAATTATAAAACCGAAAGACATGGCTGAATGGGTTGCATGGAATTTTACAATGAAATAATAAAAAAAATTCCTTTACTATGGAAAGTGCGCTTGAGCATAGCTTATAAATATATTGCTGTTGTTATTTGTTATAAAATAAAATAATATAATATCTCATATACATGTGATTTGTGTAATTTTTTTTTATAATGATATTGGTAAATAGTTTAAAATTATTTTATAACGTATTAAGTGTTGTCAATACTCCTTGTACTGTTTATGTTTTTCTATTTCGTCGTAATGCTATTAATAGCATTAATCAAACTTCAGTAATAATATCATTGTTTCTAAAAAATATACATATAGATATCATTACATTAGTGTACAATAAGTAATTAACTTATGTAATAAAAATGAAAATGTATTTGAAAAGGTGAAGGAAAAACCAAGCAAGCAGCTAAAAGACAAGCTGCTCATATTATGTATGACCAAATAAAAAACGTTCCTCAACAGAACATCTCTAAGACTAAGGAATATGTATATCCAACACCTGGTAAATTGATGCTAGATATTATGGAAAGTAAGGATTTAGATTGCATGAATAATCTGAAATCCTTGGAAATATTCTTGAAGCAATTAAAATCATCACAAAATCCAAGTGTAAACAAACTGAGGGTAATATATCAATTTAATTCACTCCCGCTAAATATAATATATACTCATATTTTCTTTATTTTTATGCAGAATACCGATTTCACGGCTAAAATAAGAAAAAATGCCGTTGAATTTTTAAATGCAATTGGAGGAGAAGAACATTTTGGTATTACATATTTATTGATAAGTAACAAGTCAAGTAAGAGATCAGTTAAAGTAATAGTCATCATTTTTTATTCCATGCTCTTTATTTTTTTCAGATGATATTGGAATGGTAGTGCAATTAGCTGTCACTCCTCTTTTGTTGTTTATCGGTTCTGGCAGAACAATGGAAGATGCCAAAGAGATGGCTGCCTATGTTGCTCTATCGTACATAAAACTTTTATTAGAGTAGTTAATCGACAAAAATACAACTGATATATTCTAAAGCCTTACCTAATAATGTAATGCATTTCGTTAAGCTTAAAACATAGTTTATAATACTAGTATAATGCTAACTTTTGTTAACTTTCTACATATGGTCACTCAATTCCTATAACTTATTAAAAAAGGTTTATAATATTTTTTTTTTGAATCATAAACACTAATATTTTTTTTCCTTTCTAAATGCATACGATTTTTTTAATTGATGTAAAATAATTTATATATCATTTTTAAAGTAAAATTATGTATTGAATTGTTTTCTTTAAGTATACATTTAGTTTTAACTTCCTACAAATAGTACATTAATTTAGTTTATTGTGTATTTTCTATAATGTCATAAACTTATAGGTATATTTTATGTGAAATTAAAATTGTCTACACAATATGGTACAATATGCACACAGTTAAACTACCAATATTTTCTGTATATTTTTATAAAAATTGGCTGTATTTGATTTTACAAAATCTTGTGTTAAAATTTAGAAGATAAGTATAATATTCTGAACAGTATTTCATATTATATATAATTTAAGTATTTAGTATAAACTTAAATATTTGATTAATATAATACAAAATATATGTGTATTATGTACAAACAATAAACAATCACTATGCATTTTGTATTCAATCAATATCTCGTGAGAAATTTATAATATATTAACAGTGTTTTGTAGTAACATAACGCAAATTACAAATTACTCTAATGTAATTACTAAAAGTCTATGAAGTAACACGCTAACCCGTTATTTTCCACATTATTAAAATAATAGTTTTGAATGTATTCCAGAAAAATTAAAAATCAATTATATTTATTTTTGATCCCGATTATTATAGTTAACAATAATGCTATACATTCCAGGAATAAATGTTATTATTTTATTATCAGAAAGAAAAGAGTTCGGTTAAAAAATAAAATTTAATTAAAATGAATTAATATTTATGACTTGTGACTATAAAGCCATATAGGGGAGATGATTGTAAATTCGTACATAAATCTAAAATAGGTCTATTATCACCAGGTCTATGATTATAAAATATATACATAATAATTGAATCATACAGTTGAATATGGTTTAAAAAAAATGATAAAAAAATAAACGTTATTTTTAACGCACTAATTTATTAATGAAAAAGTAATGTAACGTAAAAATAATTTTAGGTTACGCAAATGTAATTTAAATAAAAATATTTGAATTAACGAGAAATGTTTTTTCGTTACTTTTTAAAAGTAATTTACAAAACACCGTATATTAAGGTACAACACATTAATTAATTTTGAATAGTGTAATAGTAATAGATATTATTATATAAAAATTCATAATCTAAATCTAAAATGTCCTGAAAACAACAAAAAGTCAGTTTTTGAATAACTGCATAAAAAATGTTTGTATCCAAACATAGAAGTATTTATAAAGGAGTTGTACACACTACGTGTTGAAAAATAATATTATAATTTATAGATGAAACTTTTATATAATCTACTAGCCTGGGTTAAAATTAACCTTGATAGGTACCCGAAAGATATTTGAATGGACAGCGCTTGAACTAAACCCGGGAAACAGTGTCCTTCGCAACAGTCGCAGCATGCCAGATATCTATTAATCTAAGGCCGGGCGCACACTGATAGAGCAAAACTGTTCCGAGCTGCTTGGAGCAGCTCGGAGCTGTTTGTAGGCAATTATAACATATTTTGTAAAGTAAGTGACGCGGCGCACACTAATCAGTCAACATCAACACACGACAAGACAAAACGAAGCATGTTCGATCTTGTTCGGTCTGGTTCTATTTTTTCTCCGAGCAAAATATGAAAATGTTATGTAATCGTATAAATTTGTTTATTTATACGAATAGCTTACAACTGAACACTCGTTACTTTGGTGTCACTCGCAGATTTTTATGATTTTATACTTTATACAACTTTATTAAACTTAAGCTTTATTAATATTTCATAATTATTTTAAAATGGGATGCGATCCAGAGAAATTGATCAATCTTGTTTTTTTAAGAAAATCTATTTACGATTTTACGGATAAAGAGCATAGTAATAGAATCATCCAAGACAGATTATGGAATGAAATCAGCACAGAAATGGAAACATCGGGTTAGTTAAAAAATAATTTAAAATAATTTAACTTTTTACATGATGAGTACGTAGTGTATTTCTATATTTTTGTATCTGTAATATAAATCAAAATTAAATCAATAGTCAAACTACTTATACATTTACATTTTTGAGCTATTTAAAATTACCTATAGTATTATAATATTATAATATTTTAGTTGATTAATTTTTAAATTTAAAGAAATGTGATATTAAAACTTATAAATTGTACATATTTTGCCATGGAACTGAACCAATGTCTGAATTGAAATAATTCATGAACTTCTCTCGGATATCCATTGCTGCAGTAGATGCCCTATTAATTGGTCTGGATGTAATTTGGCTTTGGGCAACCGTTTGGGTTGTTTGAAGTTGAAGTTCATCTTGGATTTCAGATGGAGCCCCTTCTTTATCCATTATTATGTTATGTAGAATACAACACGCCTTTGTGATAATAGTAGCTTTTTCAGGAAAAACTAACATTTTATTTTCTAGAACATTAAATCGTTTCACAAGAATCCCAAATGCACATTCTACTATTCTTCTGGCTCTCGATCAGTGGCGCACACTGGTCGTACCCCCCCCCCCCCCCCGAAATTTCTCCTAGGCCTAGTATAATATTAACGATTTTTACAAATATGAAAAAAAATTGGTCTTTAATTTACTGCTTTAATTATAAGTTATAAGAGTATCTATAATAATATTATATATTATAATAGATACTGCAGCACTTGATAACATGATCATTGATCTCGATTAAAAATGTTGTCTTAGAACTTTATTAAAATTATATTTTTACATTCGTCATAATTATCATGGCTATAGCCTGCATATTACAGATATTCTTATCTATATCGATGCTTATCTATGAAGCAAAAGTACCTCCAAAAACCTATCACATATCTACTATTATTTAGTACCTAATTAGTATACCTATTTAGTTTGCAATTTTCAATCTGAGAACGTGAGGTACCTGCGACCTGCCATTATTTGTTTTATATTATATAATATTACATTAGGTACTTATTTTTGTTTTTATTTCAAATGGCCAAACGTGACGGAACAATTATTTCTTTTTTCTCGAAGAAGAGTAAACTTGATGAAACAGTATGTATCTATCTATAAGTATTAAAATTATTAAATTACAAGTTTTGGATAATTTTTATGAAAATATTAAACTATTTACTAAATTGACTATCCCAATGAGAATCATAAGCATCAATAACAATAAATTAAATTGTTGAATTCTGAATTATTTAGTCGAATAGACCTCAAAATGATGTTGATGTTCATGGTCCACATAGTTACACAAACACAAATATTGAAGTACCTAAAGATGAATTACCTGGATCTGGTTCTATTATCAATATAAATAAGCATTCAGTAAGGTTTTAATATTTATTTTTTATATTATAATGTATTCAGGTACCTACCTATATCTAATAAATAATAATATATAAAATTGTATATATTTTATAATATCCAATTTACTATTATTATATAATATTATTAATGATAATATAGCGTTATAGATGTCACCAAAATAAATTTACCTACCACTACCATACAGATAAAAGACAATAATAAATAATATTCATAGGTATAATTTATTTTACCAAAACTAAAGCTTATTAATTATTATCTCAATTATTTTAACGCATATTTGCTTCAGTAGTCTTGTTAAGTACTTGAACAAAAGGTAAAAGTATTTAAATACTTGTTATGTACTAAAATGTAATTTTAATATATTATGCTTTAAATTTATAATATTGTTAGATAAAAACTATTTTTTTTAAATTTTTTTTTGTTAACTGTTTTTTATTATATTGACCTTTATAAACTATTTGTAATAAATTACAAAAATTATAATTGATATTTATACTATAATAATATAATGTTAGATATACTTTTTTTATACAACATTTTGCTATATGTTTGCTTGGGCTATACAATATTAATCTCTATAGTAAATTATTAATAGAATAACCCCCCCCCCCCGAAAAAAAATCCTGTGTGCGCCACTGCTCTCGATAAACGATAATTAAAAATTCTTTTTTCATTAGTTAAATTTCTTCTTGGAAAAGGTCTCATTAAGTTTGTTTGCAAAGGATATGCTTCGTCCCCAACAAATATAAACGGAAACTCATCGTTAATTCGAGGGTCAATTTTTTTTGACTGCGGAATATTTAATTTATTGTTTTTTAATAATTTTCCAAAATTGGATTCTTTAAAAATACCACTATCACTATTTCGTCCATAATCACCGATATCTACAGCTATAAATTTAGCATTAGCATCAACGACAGCTTGAAGTACAATAGAATGAAATCCCTTATAATTATAATATTCTGAACCGGCATTAGGAGGGCATTGTATTGATATATGTTTTCCATCAATCGCGCCAAGACAATTAGGAAAGTTCCACAGTTCTTCAAATTAAAGCTTTTGCTGATTTTATCCAATGTTCAGTTGTAGGTGGTGGCATATAAGTAGGACATAAAATATCGCATATGGCACAACATACGTCACTTATAATTTTTCCAATAGTTGAAGCGCCAAGACGAAAATGATAATGTAAGCGTTTAAAGTGTCCTCCAGAAGCTAAATAGCTGAAAAATAATTATTTATTCTATTATACCCATAGGCGCACATAGGGGGGTGCTTGGGGGTGCTTAGCACCCCCAAGCTTCAAACTAACTCCCTCAGTTTATTTCAGTATTTCACCAATCATTTATAAACTATCGTGGTTTATTGGTTCGGAATTTTTCTCTTCATTACAAATATTGACAACTGTTTACGAATTCACGAATTCATTTTTTTTTTTTTTTGTCTGTCATCATCTTTTAGGACAGTAAAAGTGCTTGGATTTT